TTATAGTACATACATACATACATACATACATACATACATACATACATACATATATATATATATATATATATGTGTGTGTGTATTTGTGTCTAGTATCAACGCACATAACGACCAGCAATAACACCCAACATACTTGGCTAACCGTTCGATGAAATCTTCATCAAAGCTTTCGTTCCAACCACAATCCAGCATGATGCGGAAATCGTCGATGTCTAATATATAACATAGGGGGGAGAGATCATTGACCCCCTGTAGTGGCGTGAATTTCAGTACAGATGTCATGATTTCATCTACATCTACCCTCTACTACACCGTTCACCCACACGCGGATTAGCTCACAGGCGCCACTCGTCTGTTCTATAGAAATGGCTCAACCCACACACTCAGTTCTACGTAGTATGTCTCGAATCGTACGTACAGATGCAGTAAATAACTACATGTACATGAACATTAAAACCGTTCGTATTATATATATATATTTAAATACCTCAGGAACTATGTTAATGTGTTGTAATTTATAGCTCTGTCATCTCTCTCGTGTGACTCAGTGTGAGTGTCTCTACACATAGCAAATATTTTACCCGCCAAATTCTGTATGTCTTCCATTTGGTTGACCGCGATTGCCTTTATATATTTTATATTTGCAAAGAGGCTGATGAGACGCTGAGTATATAAATATTAGACACCTATTAAAAATCGTTGTTATCCTCGAGCGATCATCCATTTATTTATATATTTACACTTGTATTTATGTTGAGGTTTGTGACTTCGCAAACCTAGGTCTATACTTTCCATCTTCATTTACGGTAAATCTATATAAGACGATGCGAAGACCCTTCTATAGTAGTTTAACCTTTACAAAGATGTCAATACCTCATGTCGAGTATTCATAGACAACTAGTGGATTCGCATTCGCGTATCAAAAGTGGCAGCGATGTAGACACAGACAGACAATACGGTCCCCTGTCACGTAATCATGGACAAATAGCGGGCCCACACGCAAACATTGATAGATGCAGCGATGAAGCAACAGTCAGACAATATGGTCCCCTGTGGTGGGGGTTAGATCCGTCTTTCTTTGCCGCTGCCCACCTCAGTATACGCGACATACACTGGCTGCAGACCTACACGGATTATCCAAGTATGTATGAGTACACGTAAGGCACAATAAAATTCGAAGACCGTGTCTGCGTGGAAGCGATTCCTTTAACAGTGATAAAACTCGATATATTAGCCTTCACAAGTCTGCAAGGAGCTTCGTGATTTCGTTGAATTGAATATATTCACGTTGATTGTAGCTTTGGGAAGGAGTCAATTGCGGCGAGAGCTTGCCTGGTTATTGGTCCAGTTTCAACTCAATTTTTCACCCTCTACTGATAGTGCCACGTTCACGTCTGCCCTATGCGATACCAACAAACCTATCACACATTCTGTGACACCGTCGGAAAGTCTTAGCTTGTCTGTTGTATGTCATCGATCGGTAGGTCCGAGGGCCATAGTGTGTTGAGCTATATCTAAAACCTTGCATACGATGCATTCTAGTATGTGGCATGTTGATTTACTCTCCCATCATTCGATTCAGATATCTGCAGATACCGTAATCATCCAATACGCCTCGTTCGAGCACTTGGCTATGTGGTGAGTGTGCACCTCTTCTCAAACCGTCAGTTGTTCCAAGGTATGTAATTGTTGTGTTAAAATGCAATTAAAAACATTCTGGGGCGGTGCGGGTATGATCGGGACAATGCACCCGACCGACAAATCTTGTGCTGATCCGCATAGTTATACCAATTCACGTCAAATGTCCCAGTACAGAGTGGCCATTTGTTCTTCATGACTATCGTGCTTGCCCACAGTGCGCAGTAGGTACAAAATCTAACAGTGGGAGTGTCGCGACGAGGCATACTCTTCTCGAATCCGTTTGTTTTTCCGTGCTGTCAGGATGGATACCAGAAGGTATTGTCCATGCTGTGTTTTACACGATGGTTCGGGTGATATTATTTACAAATACATTGGAAGCGTGGGTATCAGTTAGCAAACCTATGCCCAAACGACTTAGTTTCATTCTATACTCCCATGGGCATAGATTTGAACTGAAATATGTCCATGTAGCATACTCATTCTTCTCCAATGTCACAGTTGACGATGGTACGGGTGTCATCTCATGTGTGCAGTGGATCAGCGAAGCAGCGCAGGAGGCCAATGCGTCCACCTGGCATGTCCAGTTAGGGACGCTTGTGTACGTGAGTGGAAGGATATCGACATTCAGAGAAGTGCGGCAGATAACCGTGTCGAGCATATGTAAGTCCTTGTCTGAACGTCTCTAGATCCATCTAGTCGCATGTATCTCCAACCAGTTATATCAGCACTGCGTTCGCCGGGATTTCTGCTATTCCAGATGTATGCAATTCATCGGTAGGTAATCAGTCTTGTGTGTTCGGGCAGCAACCTGATGTGTCCTTGCTCTATTTTTTTATTTATATCCCTTGCAGCTGTTGAGGACGATGTTATGAACGAAGCTCTCTGGTGGATGCGCATCCAACAATTGAAGCAACAGGTGTACGACGTGCCGTTCGAGCCACTGAAAGCGAACGGCAACACTAGAGAGTATGGGAAACGATAACTTTGGGCATGAACTTGTCAAGTGCTTCCTGGAATCAGTACCTACATAATAGTGATCAGCTTATATGTGATTTCATCAACATTCGGCAATTCATAGAATTCGGCCTTCATCGAATACGCATTCAAAAGGCACAGTACGATTGTGGTATTGTATGTTAGGTTCACATGTCTCTCAGTTTGGTGGGTATGTGCTGCCGTGCTATCGCAATCAAGATGTGAGTTCTTCAAGATGCTCATAAATCTGTGAACAATGCGTCACACCTCTCACATTTCATTCAGAGTGGTGAGGAAGCGGCCGAACGACGAACCTCACGAGGTCAGTGAAGCTAAGTTTCAGAAGATTGTGCAGAAGTTCTTGGGCCAATCTGGCTTGGAAACATTTAAGTACCAAACACTACTCAATACTGATCTCGGAGACTTGGCCATCAGGGTCGTGAGTTCAAAGGTATATGTGTGGCGATTCGAGAACATCATTATTTACAGTAATCAGGGGTTTCATAATACATATTACGCGGCACAAGTAATACTTGTATAGTACGCACAATGTGTTTCAAAGCAATCAACCACTGTTCAGGATCTCACTTAAACCCGTGTTACGATTGCAGTTCCCAAATGAATCGTCGAACGTACGCGATACACGGGTTGGCAGTCTGTTTCGCCGGACAATTGGTGCACTGGTCGTGGCCGGAATGGTCTACCTCAGTAATGAAACAAAGTAAGAAAGGCGGTGCACTTGCGATACCTCTTAACACTATTCAGAAGCCACGTTGTTCATCAACCCTTGTATGAGCAGTGCCGATTCGCCCGATTATTATATTTATCATCGTATTCTTTGCCTCCCACAGGGATATCTACACAATCATCACGCATAGTAAGCACATATATCCTGCGGTGAGAGACGTGGTCAAACAATCAGACTCCGGTAAGGATGTGTATCAGTTTATGGCCTGTCGTTGTGTAGGTTTACGATGCAGAATTGAATTGTACACAAATTGACAGTAGCAGCTTCCGCTGAGTTTCGTATCTACACTCAGCTAAGATTATCTCAGGGATCTGCTAAAAAAGTTTTTTTGACAGTATCAGCAACTGTTTGGATTGTCGTCTGCCCAAAATATATTCTATACATTTGATATGTACTTGTATTGCTCTATATGCGCATTTATAAGTTTTGCGATCTATGGATACTGACGGTCGTGTATCCTTCTGCCAACACATCCGATGCTTGCGAGTTTGGTGTAAACAGAAGCCATTATCAAGGAGTGACCACAACTATACCATATTTACAAGCGCTTCTCATTTTCATATACTCAAAATAGGCCCGGGGCTCTCTATGGACGAGATAGTGCGGCAGGTAAGGATGAAGCCAGCACTGATGAATGTACCCAAATCGTATCTGCAACGAGAAGTCTTGAATATGGTCAGCAATAGTGATCTGTACGAAAACAGTCGGGGCACGTACAAGTGGGTTGGCGGAGAGGACACTGGGACAGCTCGTATGTGGTAGCGTGCTGAAATTATACTCTGTACTGGGGATGGCTGTATTTATGACTATTAGATGATCATATACACTAGCAGGATATCCCAAGGATGAAGTTTGTCATACCGGTTATTGCTTATCTCATCGGTCCTGTATATAAAAGTCGACCGCAAGCTATTGTACTTGAAGATATATTTAAGGTTTTTTTTCAATGAAAACACCATAGCCGGCCTCGAATGTGACACAAAGCGACCTGAAATGGTATTTATGATATTTACGGATGCATGGACCTTGAGAGGTGGGGGGAGGGGGCTCAGGGGGGAATGTAAAAGTGGTTGATAGGTTTGGTTGGATGAGAGCCTATTAGAGAGGGCTTGGTACATATATATATGTATACTCCCAGTCCACTGAGAACAGACCTTTGACGTGTATCGTTTCAATTTTTAGGCATATGAAGGCATAGTACATAGCCTCCTACATTATGTGTATGTATGTATTCATAATTGAATCATCGTGCGGTGAAACTCAGAAACTGATTATGGAGTGACTGACGAACTCATGTATGTTTTTAGAAAAAACAACAACAAAATCTCAGCAATCACTACTCAGAACTTCAGAAGTGGGAAGTGAAGCTAGAATGTCTGATAGGCAATTAGACCTTAAATAAATGGTCTCCGATTCTGTACTCTGTGATTCAGTGATTCTCAGATACATCCTTAAAAAACGGCAGCATCCGCCGGGAACCCCCAGATGATCAGATCAGTTGATCACAATAAATACTCTTGGAGCACCGTTTTTCTTGTTGGATCTAAATACACCAAATTCTTGAGACTGTCATGTATTTTATGAGCAAAAAAAGAAGAAGAAAACAGACGGACACTGGAAATGCCAAAACCAAATGTACATATTTAATTATTTAGCCCTCTGAAATATACACCAAAACATAGATGCCTGATGAATCTACTTTGTACACCCCGCCTCAAATGTAGCAGCAGGACTGTAAAACGCTTTCTGTTTAGCGTATTGATGACCATGGAATATACAACTAGCTTTACTTGGAAATAATTGAATACTGTCATGTACATTACTGAACGTATACTACCTACGTGCGTATTTCTCTTTGCCTCAGTATGGCAGACAACGCTAGCATACTCTTCGGCTGACGTTAGCAGTTGGAACACATGCATTGACTACTTTAGCATCACAGAATTATCTGGTTAACCAGTTATAAGTGATTCTGATAGTCTTGGTGCTGACATAGTTTGTAAGTGCATTTCTTGTTCATCAAGAACGTACTCTGCGCTTATTATTGAGTATAACAACGATGCGTCCGATTTTGATACTATAGATTGTTCGGCTACATCAAGCAGTTCAAATGACTCAGATGATTCAGGCAGTGATTGCAACATCGATTCTGACTGTCCCACCTCCGGAATTTTTTGGACTTGCAAGAACGGTTACTGCAAATTTTCCATTTGATCCCGTTGAGTTTCATTTATAGTGGTATAAAACAATACATTTAAGATTCGTCAATACATCGTGTATCCGACGAGGATCGCAAAAGTCGGCTTCCCCAAATTCAATACAGCTGAATAAGCCACTACGGATGCGACATAGCCCCAACTCAGTAAATGTCGAGCTGTATGGGCGACGGCAAAGTACCAAGGTCGCCGAGTACGAGCTACAAAACACATCGGATGTCGTTTCATGCATTTAAACATGTATACACTAAATATAGAATGTAATATACACGGCGTATATTCGAGAGTTTTGGAAATTTTATTAGGGAATGTTTGTATAAAAAAATCGAATTGAAAATATAATATTAATGGCATATTAATGGCGTTGTCGAATTTAAACAATATAGTGCAGTTCATTAATATGCGATAGTTGTGATATCAGTCATTTTTCTTTTCTTGCTCCACCAATTAAGCCGATTTAACGGATCCTGGTATCCCAGATTGGACACCTAGCGAACGTATCTCGACAGTATTTCATCTTGGAGACAGCTATGTCACAATAGTAAAGCCAGAAAACAACAAGAGTACATAGCCAGATAACATCTCATAAAACCGTTCAACATCATATTTATTGAAAAGACATGTCAGCAGAGATCAAGAGTGTACATGCAATGACTTTTACTTACAATTGAGGATTGTCTATAATAAAATCTAGTTTTTAAACGATATCCTCAACACTAGCTTATGTGCGAACGTCATCTACCCAGAGAATATCTGTATATCACTGGGTATCGTGTTTCTAGCGCCAACACACGGGATGTGGGTATTTCTGACGTTCACAAATGTTGCTCATACGGATTGAGAGAATAAATTCTGAGAGAACAGCTTGCTTCAAAACTATCACTGTGACTCCAGGTCCCGGGATAGCGATGGATGATATAGTGCAGTATATAAAGTTGAATCCGGGCACAGATTGAATTCATATACTCAATTGCCTTGGAAATAGTGCCCTGTATGGAGCCATCGAGATATGGACAAGTTGATGGACAAGAAGTTCATCACGACAACCCCAATATATTGGCCTATTGAGACGTTGAATATCCACCATGGACAGCCGTGATATGTATTTCATAAGCGAGATGATAGTGAAATTGCACCTTGGCAAGCGACTGGTTGTCGACTCTCTGATCAATGTATAAAGAAGTATCGGCTACCAAACATCCGATTTCATTCCATACATGTCGTTCTACTCGTCAACCGCGCAATCAACTCGAAGCAGTGTACAATATCGAGCATTCGCACGTGTCGCAGCGTTATAATACGAGCAGTCCTTTCTTCAGGTAGCAGGTGACAAATTAAACGGTACCACAATCCACTCAGGTTATGCAGTAGTCAGCCCACTCAAACTTCACCAACGCCACCTTTCTGTACAGACCTCAATATGTTGAAATAAGATCTGATGAGCTTCTCGGATTAACATTCTGCCATACCCGTGGAATGTGTTCAAAGCAGAGATTGCCTCACATTCACTGCAGCTGCAGGTTCGGGTCCGGGGGCCGAACATGTCTTACTTATGACAGCAGCTACTACATTGGCCGCTGATTCGTCTCATTTAACTCCCACTTTTCTCGGGTTCAGATTGATTCCTATGCCAGATATTTTTTGTTATGCGGAGATCGTGCACTACACAACCAGTCCGCGCAGTCGTTGCTTAGGGTACGCGGGTCTTGGTGGTGTGCATCTCTCTATTTGTTGCCATAGCTCGACTATGCAAAGCTATTCCCGGACCGGGTTGATCTTTGTCTGATATTGGTATGTAACCTCTCCGACGACTGTGAAGCACCCTCATCGCTCTCCCCTGATTTGGGATACGTCTCCGTTGCGTACAACTTTGTGTGTTGTCGAATGTCGGAAACCATCACAGGTAACGTCTGCATTGGATAGGTCGGACATTCTGAGATGTGTAATTTCACATTTGAAACAACGAGATAGCGGCCTGATGCTACTCGGCATACTTCTATAAATGAGCCATGCAATTCAATACAGTCATGGGCACTAACAATCAGGTGTGGCATACCCTATACGGTGACCGATATTATTCCGACTGTATTGGTAAACGTACCATACTTATAAATATGTGCGATACAGATGGCACTCACCATCACGGATGCTGTATAATAACCGACATAAACAGATATGCCTTATCTCTATCACTTTGTAATGCGCTCGAACACTGGTGAGGTGATTGTCAGTAATCCAAATTAGCTCTGGCGTTGACAGGTATATGTGGTTTCTAGCATATCACAATGGTCGAAACAGATACAGCGCAAACGCTCATATTGCATGATTTTTGATATTGATAGGAAACATATCAACACACCTTTGACAAGCGTGACATCCTCGGTAGAGTATCCTGTAGAAGTGTGTACATCTCTTCGTAGTCCACTTCTATATAGAAAAAGGACAAGTACTATGAATGTGCTGCAGTAAAATCCGTGCAGTGCCGGAAGTATCTAAAAAACAACAATAATAAAAGCTGGAGCAAACAGTACGGCCAGCTAAGAAAGTAAGACCGAACAAGAAGATACCAATCTTACACCCACTCACCATTCTTAGCCGGCTGTGATTCAGGCGTGACCTCTATCCTGTACTTCAACCGTTTCTCCTGCTCCAGGACCTATGTGGTCAGATTTTGATAGTGTTGACGTGACAAAAGATACATATCAGTACTTTGTAAAACGTTTCTGACGGTAACCTGCTATTGTAAAAGAACCTCTGTGAGTATGCAATCCATCCATATGTAAGCTGACACAATGCATAAGTAAACAAATACCTGTGCTACTTTCACCGGAATTTCATTTCGGCACTTCGTGACCTCTACCAGCAGCTCATTCACCCGTATTTGTCTCTGTAACAGCTCATCCTCTAGTTGGAGATCCACCGGTTGCAGTACTAGTGTACAATCGTTGAGAATTAAATACTAGTGAGTGAATGTGGTTTTCAGCCTTGAACTCTGTGTCCTGATAGGTAATTTGTCCTCTGATACCTCATACATAGAATGAGTACACCTCGATACTAAATTACGTTTCGCGAGTCGGATTCTTGTCAATAGCATTGAAAGGACTAAATGATGCTCCTCAGCACAGTAAATACTGATAGAGGACATTTTGTACTGGTAGAAGACGTTTACTACGAAATTGAACGTGCTTCTATAAGAACTAACGTAAAACCCGTGTTATTAAAGAATAGACATTAATCTGAGGGAACAGATCCCAATATGTACGCATGCATAGATCGAAGATTGATTTGTCTATGTCTTCCGCATTAAGACAGAAACGAGTACATAGTTGTTGGTTGTTAAGTTACAGAAATGTGTGCACCTCACCACGCCCGCTTAAGAGTGCGAAACCCCCGATACTTCGGTATCTATAGACACACCACACCATCCTTACATCAATATCATCGGATTTGTATAAACAGGAAATCACGTGCATAAAGAATATTGAATCTTGTGGTTGGTCGCAGGTTTATAGTTGTTTGCGTTGTATATTTTACCAGCGGTGTCTGCGAGCATTATTCCGTACGTCAGAAGGAATTTCTTTGCGCATACCAGTAGTGCCTTACCAACAAATGTATATAGCAGTGACATTGCGAGCCTCACGAAAGGAGGATGCATTGGCTGTATTCAGCCAATTACCTACTGACAAAGGCAAGCATACGAATAGAATATATAAAAACAAATCTTCAGAACAAAATCTCAGTGCTATCCACATTGCAAGAACACGCAGAGCTGAGGTGCACTGCGCTACATGCACCACACAACACTGGCACCTCCCAGTCACATGGACAGCTATGCCACGGCATTCTCGACACTGCTGTCCATGCGACACACGTGCAATTGACCATAACACTGCGAGTACAAAATGATAAACTGTCATGCCTTCCGCAACATGCCTAACAACGTGTTAGGATAAATACACACACTAGTATGATACCTACCGTCTTTTTCCGAACTGGCCTCGTGCCAGCTGCGACCATCGACTTCTACATTCTCTTTCATTATCGCAAATACGGCTTCGGAAAACTATGCAGGATAAATTGGCCAGGAATATATTAAAGGACTATAGTTGCACGCCGCGTACATTCTGAACATCTAAATGTCCATACGCTTTTCTCCATTCGCATAAAACGAGATATCTTGAAATTAATAGTTCACGAAGCTAAGAAATGGATAGCGATGCAGAACTTAGTCCCAATATACTTGCTCGGTGATTAATCGAGTATACACAGTGCATAAAACAAAGTAATCCTCTGATATTGCGTGGTTTTTGCGTCGCTCGAGTTGGTTGGCACGACAGTTTCAAACAGCACTATTGATATACAGTGCCAATCTGTAGATGCTTAGAAGTTATTTTCGTACCTCATTCATGTAGTGGTAGAAGTCTTCTTTCTGCTGCATGTTCCATGGCGTCTGTCTATCGGTGTATTCTTCTATGCAGTGATTGAGCCGTTTTCGCTGATCCTGAATACCAAACGTACACAATTCCATGTGAGCGTTTTATTACATAATATTAGAAAGAGTGCATTCTGTTTCCGTTATTTGCAACGCACTTTTCAGTATAGAAAACTCAGGTGGTTTGCGATGCTGAAGTACATATGCATAGCCCTCAATTTTTATCAAAGCCAGCTGTCCAGTTATTCTTGGTGTCAAACGGTACATTTACATTACTACGGTGTTACTTTTAACATTAACGTGGGCGTCACTACTGAATGAAACAGATTTAAGAGGATGTGTTTGTTCATCGCACATAGTATGATCAAAACTCGAGAGCGAAAAACAACATGCAAAGTGGTATGCAATAGGTATCTACACTCATTATATGTATTCATGAATTGATACCATCAACAGTATACGTTGCACTCAGTAGATGATACTGTTGACAGCAGTCAATGGTTTCTGTTGTGCGGGATCTCATACACAAAAAGAAACTTCTTGCGTACACACGCACAGTGAAGATGTAGCAACTCAAGCCAGCAAAAGCGATTGTTTCTCTAGGCAGATTACTAGCACAACTATATATACTAATATAGACCACATGCGTGTCCTGAAAAATAAACTACGTAGTTGCACGCAGTATTAAGGCAATTGATAGCGATAGCGCTTTAGTATCACAAAGTAACACATAATAAAATGGACATCTGATACCAATCGGAGACGACAAAGACGGCGCGAGCATGTCCAATACAACACATTGCATACGTGAAGCGCTGCTTGACTGTTTAGTTGAACCTTCCCCATTTTCCGTGTTTTCCGTGAGAGCCGCTGGGTTCAATACGCGAGTTTGATGATATAGGCGAATACCGCAATTCTGTACTAAAGTAAATATCTGATAGTACACATTTGACAGTATGGATTAGTTGCACACAAATATAGATATTTTTTAGTTAACCGGTGATTACTGATAACCCGGCGAATTTTACTTCTGTCAGAAGACTCATCAGCGTCTCAGGCTCTCAGCCCCTCGGCCTCAGAAGGTCGGGAGCCTCAGCCGCTCAGTCACTGGCTCGCAGACCTCAGGGCTCAGCCTTTCAGGCCCTCAGGCCTCAGGAGTCAGGACCCGGGAAGTTGGGAACGGTTTTTGCAAATCAATATTTTTGTGCCCGCTAACGATGTACTGATTCAGAGGGGTCTATAGAGGGCCTAATAGGTTTTCAATATTTTGGCACTTTGACAGCGATCATGGTTTTATGTGAACGTATATATACACAATATATGTCAAAAATAATAAATAAACAACGACGCGAAGGATTAGGTGAAAGATAACGGCGTCTTCCAACATCGATATAGAGCACTTTAACCACACTGTCTTGGACATCCGACTTAGTAACATAAGCACACGAGCAACTAATTGGCAATCGAGTATACGAATATAATAATCATGACTCGGGAGGAAACTAGCACCGCGATGGATGTCGACAGTCCCGATGACGACTCCAAAGTGGTCAAAGAACCTGAGGTTGTCGACCCCGCTGTCAAAGTTGAGTCAGGTATGCCGGTATTCTCACACAGAGTTTTAGTCACTCACACTAAATTGCACCTGTCACACAAACACACACACACACACAAATTCACGCATAAAAACACACACTCACACACTCACGAACACACACTCTCTCTGTCATATATATATTTATATACATATATACATATATATGT